GTCTAGTAGCAGCAGCTGGGTTGGCTGGTACCAGCAGAAGACTCCTGGCAATGCCCCTGTCACTGTGATCTACTGGGATGACGAGAGGCCCTCGGGCATCCCTTCACGGTTCCCCGGATCCACGTCTGGCTCCACGGCCACGTTAACCATCAGTGGGGTCCAAGCCGAGGACGAGGCCGTCTGGTGCCCGGGACAGCAGTGCTGATCAGCGTCCAGGTGCCCCGTTGGGTGGCTTTGGTGGGCGCTCTGGGCTGGCTCTGTTCCTGTCTGCTGTGCATGGGTGGCAGAGATCCCAGTGCTGGGGCTGGAGGTTGTGCAAGTGACGCAGCTGCTGCTAGTGCAGACCTGGGGTGTGGTAGGTTGCTCCTGCCCTCACAAGGTCTTGTCCTGTGGCTCAGAGAAGCTGGGAGACACCCTTTTCTCATCTTTGGAGTGTCCTGCAGTGGTCCCTGGACTCCTGCCAGTTCAGGGCTGATGCCCACCATCCTCCGGTGACAGCACCTGTGCCTACGGGCCCTGTGCCTGTGCCGGAGGCTTTCTTCTGTGAGCACGGGCTGCCTTCGGCAGTGTCCCATGCAGAAGCCCTGCAGGTTGTGGCAGGGGCAGGAGGAGTCTCCAGACCTGGTGGAAGCTGTGGCAGGAGTGAGGGACGGCATGGACAGTTCTGTGCTGGGCTCTGCGCTCAGTTCCTCCAGCGCTGCCCCTGAGGGCCTTCTCCTCCCCACATGGTGTCAGTGTGGCCCTGCACCACAGTGCTGAGGTTCAATGGGCAGCCAGGAGGCCAAGGGGCTGGGGACACCCAGGTGCCTGTGTGTAACAGCCGAGGGCAGGGCAGCCTGGGCAGGCCCCTTTGGAGGCTGCTGTGGCCTGTGCTGCCAGCTGTAGCAGAGGCCAGGCTGCCTCTGGCTGGACAAGCGTGGGAGGATGATGTCTGCACTTGATTGGTATGAACTCCAGCCCAAGTCTATCTGTGGTTGCTGTGAGGCCACTGGAGACCCCCAGCTCACTTTGTAGTCAGAGGAACTGCGGGCTTGTGTTTCTTTGCCGTTTGGCAGCCTTGAAACTCCTGGTCTCCTTCTGTTCCAGTCTTCAAAACGTCCGTTCTCTTGTGGCACTTAAGAGAGGGCCAGTTGTGATGTCCTGGTTGACGCAGGACTTGGGTTTCCCAGCTCTGTCACTGCTGCTGAGCAGCACCTGGGTAGTGTGGCTGCCCAAGGACCAGCAAGCACCGAGCAGACTTGGGTGCTCCAGAGCAGGCGGACGTGTCCATGTGCCAAGGTGGGCACAGGACACTGTGCTCAGAAGTTGCCGGTGCAGCGAGGCCACGGTCCTCCTGGGCAAGGATGGGCGCAGGGTGGGCCCTGGCTGAGCTGAGAGCTCAGCAGCCGTGTTGGGGGAAGGAGCAGGTACCCAGGGAGGAGGCAGCCACCGAGCAGACTTGGGTGCTCCAGAGCAGGCGGACGTGTCCATGTGCCAAGGTGGGCACAGGACACTGTGCTCAGAAGTTGCCGGTGCAGCGAGGCCACGGTCCTCCTGGGCAAGGATGGGCGCAGGGTGGGCCCTGGCTGAGCTGAGAGCTCAGCAGCCGTGTTGGGGGAAGGAGCAGGTACCCAGGGAGGAGGCAGCCAGAGAGATCTAGTGACACAGAGAGATGTGGAAGTGAGCTACACAGGAGTTAGAAATGGACGTTCTCTGCCCTCCTCCTTGCCGGCCAAGCGGAATTGTGCTGTGGGGCTGAGGCAGGTTCCTGTCCCCTCTGCACAACTGTTGGCAAGGAATGTCCAGCCTTTTGTGTGCTAGAGCACTCAAGGTGACTTTGTGGCTGGGGACGAAGGTCCTGTCCCTACAAAATTCACAGTGTGGCCTTGTCGGTCAATTCACTGCCTCTTGCTACTGATGTCCATGTCCTCATGCTGCTGCCAGAGCTGTC